ATTGAACCCAGGGGTGCTTAACCACTGAGCCACATCCCAATCCCTTTTTATGTTTTATTTTGAGACAGGGTCTCACAAAGTTGCTCAGTGCCTTGCTAAATTCTAAGGTTGTCCTTGAATTTGGCAATCCTGCCTCAGCTTCCCTAGCCACTGGGATTACAGGCATGCACCACCACATCCATCATATTTATTTTCAAGTTTCTGTGTTGCCCTTCTTGGTTTAGATCTAAAACATAATCTGGTACATTCAAAATTATTCAACCTCCTGAAAAGCAGCAAAACTTTTACTACTTTTTTTTCTTAATAGTTTCTTTGTTTCACTCACATAGTTTGCCCAATAAATCCTTATTAACTGAGAAAATAAGCACTTGTGTGAGAGTAAAAACTAGACAAATAATAATAGTAGCTGCAATATAATGAATACTTCTTAGTCGCCACTTCTATGCTAATGTTTTACATGTATTATTTAATTATCACAACAAAACTATAAGCTGTTATTATTCTTACTCCCTCTTAACAGATGAAGAAAGTCAGAGAGGTTAAGTAATTTGTTCAAGGTTACCTGACTAATAAGTAGTAGGGTAGATGTTCAGCCTAGGGCTCTTTGGCCCAAAGGCCCAGTTCTCTCCGGATTCCACACAAGACAGAACCAAAGCTCCAAGAGGAGCTTTCTTATTCTAATCAGTAATTTGGTGGTCATTGAGACTCTCAGGGAGTACAAAAGAAGGATAAGATGGCCTAGACAAAGCCACTCTCTGGTAAATAAATCAATTACAAAATAAGCAAAGTAGGTCTCCGTAAAGCCCAGCAAATATATCCCAGACCTGAAAGAGTGTACTTTTTAGTCTTCACCACAGTCCTCCCTCTGGAATATTCCTCTCCCAGCTCAGCCAGCTTTTTCATGTTTTTGTTTTGCAGCTGGGGTGTCCCCCAGGGCATTCTGCTTTCCATAGATTTCTTGGCCTCTGTAGAAAGTTACTCTTCTTCCCTCTTAGTTAGCTGAGTCAAAGCTGGAATTTTTCAAAAAGTGTTCTAAGAAATGAAGGGAGAAAATGAAGCAGGAGGAGGAAGAAAAAGAGTAGGAAGAAAGGAGAACATATAAAGTTTAGGATGCAGTAAGAAAGAACATTTCAAGCTATGCAAATTGTTTATGAATATCACTTTCTTTATCTTTTAGGTTTTTGTTTTGTTGGCTTGTTTTGTTTTCCAGTCCTAAGGAAAATTCTTTAGAAGTCCATTTATGTCTATTGAATTTTGTGGATTCAAAGATGTCTAGTTTCTTTCTTGGCCCTTGCCCCCACTTTCACCCCACACACTGGGGATTGAACTGAAGGTCTCCTTGTTGAACTTGTAGCTCAGCATCACTGAGCTATACCCTCAGCTGTCTTGCTTTGCCTTTGATTGGGGTGGGGGTAGATGACAGCTAAGGTTCCTCTATGCCTATGATGCATAATTATTTAATTATGATAACACAATTAAAAGTGCTTTATCATCAGCTTTTTATAAAATAGAAAAATGGGATTCAGAAAAATGGAATACCTTTACTGAGAGTCCTGAGCTAGTCAGAGATAAGCAGAATTTCTGACCAAGCTCCCTTTCTCATAGTTGCACTTTGCAACCTCTAGAACTCTCCCTTTTCTTGCCCCAAGGCATCTCCTACCACTCAGTCTTTTTCATTCTTTCATGCCCTCATAATTTCTCTAATGGCTGAAGCAAATCTTAGTCTACCTAAGATTGAAGACTGAAGGTCACTGGAGATCCTCAGGGATTTGTATACATTTAACTGTAAGGCCTTCAGCAAGTGCCTTAGCCTTTCTGGGGTAAGGTTTCCTCATCTACAGAAGAGAGATCATAATACTACCACTTTGTAGGGTGAGAATTAAATACATAAACATAAATTAAAGCTTTTAAAGCTATGCTTAGAACAAATAAACATTACATATATGTAAGCCTTTTATTAGGGAAGTTGTTAGTGGGAAGGAATAAGAAATTAGGTCTTCAACCCTCTTCCTAAAACATACCAGTACTTACTGAGTCACTCTTCTACCAATAGATCTGGTCCATTGTTTGGTAAAGGGCAAGGAAAAACCAGAAAAAAAAAAAAAAAAGAATACCTTGGAATTTCCAATGTCAATGCACTCTATTGTGTTTGTTTTTTTGAAGTAATTATGTCATCTGGAAGAAAATAAATGCTGTGTTGGCTACTTTCTGAATATGTACATTGCACTGAGCAAAACAGGAACTACAGATAAACAACTATTTATCTTGGGGCTGGGACAACCTCCAGAGATGGAAGTTAAATGTTTTCACAATACTCAGCCACAGTTTTCTGACAACTTTTGAGCCAATACAGATGTTATGAACATGCTCCCAAAGAAGGCATATTGAAATATAGTTCCAATATGAAGTATTATTAATCCAAATGGACTCTTCCTTTTGAAAAATGTTCTTTTTTTAGAGAGGTGATCATAAAGAGATGATAGATGATAGAAATAGATGGATCTATATATGTAGGAGACAAAAAGAGGATGACACTATTTAGAGGGTGAGGAGACTTTTTAAAATGATATCACTTTTTAAAAACAAAGAGGAAATATAGATATACTCAAGCCTGTTTGCAATGACCTAAAAGATTTAAACGGGTCCTTTGGAAACAGGACTAATTATTTGGGAGATATGAGCTAGTTAAGAAAATTCAGCAAGTCTTTGAATTAAATAACCACACTTGAAGCATATTTCTGCTTAAAATTCACATGAAGCCTAACTTCTTTCTAACCTATAGAGCTTTCCAATTAGTTTTGAAATACTTTAAATGGGTCTGGGCAATTACACTTTAAACAAGTTCCTTTGTATGCAATTCTGATGCATACTAAAATGTGAAAACCATGGCATATCTTTTGGTGACCACTGTGTGTATATTATATTGACATACCTGTTAATGGATTATGTAGACATAATACACATAATACAATATAGTTAATCAATCTCCTTCTCTTAAAAATTTAGGTTCAATCTGAGTTTTTACCATTATAAATTATGATATGATGCACATCTTTAAAATAACAGCTAATAGGGGCTGGGGATGTGGTTCAGTGGCAGAATGCTTGCCTGGCACATACAAGGTCCTGGTTTGATTCCTAGCAGTGTAAGAAAAAAAATTAAAATAATGACTTACATTTATTCTTTGTGCTGGCCACTATCCTACATATTATTTCCTTAGGATAAATTTTTAAGGAGAATTACTGAGATAAATTTTGTGGGTTTTTTGAGAGTTTTTGATGCCCTTTGCCAACTTGCTATTCCAGAAGATTTTCTCTGTGGCCATTTTTTAGGTTAACTCCCCACTTATGAAATGGGAAAACACTAATGGTTATGTTCCATGGAGACCAGTATTCGGCTATCCACTCAGTAAAGTACTCTCCAACAGTGGCTTTTCCAAGAGACTTAGAAAAGATACAGCACAGTGTCCTGGCTCATGCATCAGATCCAGATCTTAGCCACTATTGTTGCTAAAAGCAGCAGTCCTGAGTGGTTGTTTCCAGGAATGTCTATCCAGAATCTACCCACAGGGACTGTATGCTGTTTCTGGGAACTGGCACATTTCACATGCTGTCTCTTCTAGGGCCCATCAAGGCATAGCTATCTCTGGTAGTCAAGGGAACACAGGGCAGTATGGAAATGCTGGGTTCAAGATTTTTTTTTTTTAATAGAATCCAATAAGAAATGTTCTGACATTGGGGAGACACACACACACATACATATGCAGTGCACTATGTGTCCAGGTAATAAAGTACAGTGCACTGGGTTTATGCAGTGAGCAAAAAGAAATATCTTTTCTTCCCATCCCTCTTTTCTTAGATTTTCACAGAATGAAATGTGTGGGAAACTCTGAACAATATGCATTACATGTTCGGAACATATGTTAGCCTTCTAATATGAGAAGGGACAGAAGAAATCACTTGGAAGGGTGGCATTTACCCATGGAAGGCCAGTGTGAGATGTTTTTTAGCTACCTAAATAGATTTTTTAAAAAATGACAGCAGCAGCCCATTACTATGCTAGTATTCAGAGACAAGCCCGCCTTGTTTTCAAGGAAATCTGGCTGATATAGGGAATATCACTAGATCTCATAGGATCTGTGTATAAATAGTAAAATGCAGACTACTTACCTATGAACGAAGCACAGAGAAACCATTTGTTATTATGAAAATGTAGAATTTTGAAACTGGGATGAATGTTATATTTATTTATTTATTTATTTTTTATTAGTCATATTAAACTTTATTTTATTTTGAATGTTATATTTAATTGTCTTCTCAAATCTTTTTAAGAACATAGTAAGAGTATGGACTATAAATAATTCTAATGGAGACTGTCTAGTCTCCACTCTTATTTTACAAATTAGGAGGCTAAGTGAACTTCTAGACCTCACTTAACTAGAAAATGGAAAGTGGGATGTCTTGACTATAAATCAAAATTCAATTTTCTTTTCTTCTTGGCTTTCCTAAACAACTCCCTAAGAATTTACAGTCTTTAAATACAAATGTTCTTCCTTGAGGCAAAGTAGTAAATACAATATCATAACTACTAAATAAAGGTGTTTATTTTTTTTCTCTCCACTTACAATGTGCCTCCAATGTGGTAAAAATATCTGTATCCCTTCAAAACTCTTGTACATGTTAACTGAATGTCTAGCATAGTAATCCCTTTTCATGTAGATTTTAGAAAAGCTTATGTCAGAATCAACTAGCATGTAGATAGAAATGCAATGAAGAGGCAGAGGGAATGAGATAGTTTCCTCAAATTTTAAATAAGGAAAAATGAGAGCAATGATTATTAAATAAATAAATAAATAAAAGAAGGAAGGAAGGAAGCTGTTTAGAGTTGGGTATATAGTTAGCTTGTAGGACACTCACTTAACATGCAGGAGGTCCTGGATTTGATCCCTAGCGCGCACACACACACAATTGCTTTTTAGAAGACCATCTGTTTGGTCTAAAAAGTAGTTTAGTAAGGATTAAAACTTGGTGCTGATGTTTACTGCAGCAGGCAACTGTAGTAAACATTTTGGGTGTGGCACTTAGTGAATGTGCAGTCAAAGTGTTTTGAATTAAAGCACAGAAGTCGAGCCCTCAGGACACCTGGACTCCAGCTCTTTCTCACTAGCTTTGGTCTATCCACCTTTCTGAGCCTCAGCAGCAGCATCTATTACATGAAGGCCTTGAACTATATCATATCTTTTGGTAGATAATAGATACTGTTATCTGCCAAGTTCTGGCTTAACAAGGGACCTGCCCTCCTCTAATCTATCATTTATGTCACTACAATGAGACAACTTCACTAACTATCACCTTGGTCACAACCTATGCCAGGTCAATAGAAGTGTTTTCCAAGGATTCATGAACTGGAGTTTAAAAGGTAGTGTCCATCTCTTTCTGGTGGCTGAAACTGTAACTGGTTGATAGCTGTTGGGTGTGTGGGAGGCTCCCTACTGAAGTCAAGTTTCCATCTGGAGAGAACATCACGGAATCCCTTACCCAAACCCCTCCTCTCCGAAGGGCACCAAGCAGAAGACCGCCAAATTCAAAGGTTTTCTCAACCAATCCCTGCAGGATACAGTGTCTACTCGAAGTTCCCGAGTCATCCTGCCAATCAGCACCCGCCTCGTCGCCTATGCAACCCTTCTTAAGCCCAAACTTGCAAGCTCACGCTCTCTGCCCTTTTCCTCTCTACTCTTTGCCCTCTTCTCTTTCTTTCTCTCCTCTTTCTGCTCTTTCTCTTTCTCTCTGCCCTCCTTATCTTTTCTCTCTGCTCTCCATCTCTCCTTTTCTTCCCCTTCGGGCAGTCCCCCAATAAAATCTATTGGTTCAATATGTCTTGGGTGAGTTACTCGCCTTTCAATAGCCATCTTCTCCAATTTGATATAAGTAATATACATGTCAAAATGAGAAAGAAGTTACAGGAGAAGAGCAGAAAGGAGAACTTTTAGATCCACAACTGGTTTAATCTGAGGCCCAGTATATCCCTGTTCTTCATGTAATGAGACAGCAGAATCCTTACATTAAATTCCCCATTTAAAAAATTAAGTTAGTAATTTAGTCAATAAACTATTTACTAATTAAGATGAAAATAGTTATATATAATATATTATAATATCTCTTTCATTTATAAAAATGAAGATTTAAAGAACTGTGAAGGCCAAAGTGATGGTCCGATAGGAACATTTCTCCTTGGCAGGAAGCCATTTAACTGGAATAGAGTTGAAAAATAAAAGATGTTCTGCTGAAAGGAGATTTCCTAGAGTGGAAATCAAAGACATTTTTATTTAGGCCATCAGGGAGTTAAATGAAGTATCATCTTACCTAAATGTGAAAGTAAATCATAGAGAAATCAGACAGAATGGATATTACTTTCATAATCCCAAGAAAACTGAGAAAGACAGGCTCCCTTGTTATTATTTGAAATCTTGATATTTTACGCATCATGGATTTTTTGTATTAATTTTATTTTTTTAAAAATCATTGCATTAAAATATTATATCTTTATTACTGATATATTTGTCCACCCTATTACCCCCTTACACTGAATGTGAGGCAAGTTCCACTCACCATTACCTCTGCTCCAGGCCTGAGACAAAAGATTCTATCCACAGAAAGAATCAGAGCAAGAGTGTTGGTAAGGGTTGGGGCTGTGGTTCAGAGGTAGAGCCCTTGCCTACCATGCGTGAGGCACTGGGTTTGATCCCCAGCACTACATACAAATAAAATAAAGATATTGTGTCCACCTATAACTAAAAAGTAAATATATTTTTAAAAAAGTGTTGGTAAGTGAAACGGTAGAAAATAATACAAGCTTTAGAAACATTCTAAGCCAAGTTAATCAAATAACTAAATTGTGTGTTTAAGTTTGGCTTCCTGCATGTAATTCATGCCCTCAAGATTCCCTCCTTCTGTAGTACTTTTGCAGTTTCAGTGGGTGACCCCAGTACATATTTTACTGAATAATTGCTATGGACAATGCACTGGGAAAGGATTAGAAACATATTTCCTTGAGACCCTGAGATTAACGCCTTTGTAAGGAAATGCTAGGTAGCCTTCAATTTTGTGGTGTACATCTGCCTTGTCACACTGTTTTTTTATCTTGGTGGATGATGAAAGGGCAGAAGCCCCTCCCTCTTGCCACTTTGCACTATCCTGATGGATGAAGATCATATTCTGCAATCATCGTTGGGTCATTTGGTTTTAAGTGAGTCTGAAGGAGATTGTCATCTGATACTGATCTGATATGAAGCTACTATTGAGCTACTCTCTGAAGAAGCATGGCCAGGTTTCTGAGTTTGACACATACAGCAAAAAATACTCTATTATTCCATTGGTCTTGGAAGTGGGTAGAAGAATCCCAAGAGGTACACAGAATGCTGATCCATCAAGATATAGGAAAAAATATTAAAATTTTA